CATGATTTGGATGACTATAAATGACTACGTGGAATTATGAATGACTATATTGTGATTCATATTCTGCATTTACCGATAAAAAAATAAATAAATAATAGTTAAAAATGTATAAAGCAAATTAAAAAGATATGAAATATTAATTTTAAATATCAGACAAAGAAAAAATACGAAAAAGAAAAAAAAAACAGAGAAACACGTTCTACGTAAAAAAAAATTATAACAAAAATTTTAGATGCAAAAATGAAAATGTTAAATTCAAAATAAAAACCGATAAAAGCAGTTTAAATATTACTTGGAGCAAATTTCATTTTTCATATATGAAGGGCAATTTTGGAATTAAATTTGTAAAGGATGTAAAGCAAAGGTTTAATTTGACTTGTCATTTAGTTCTAATAATGTTTGCCACTAGGGACCTATATCTTAAGGCGGGCTTTAAGATATAGGTCCCTGGTGGGAAAACATATTAGAACTAAATGACAAGTCTAACTAAACATTAGCTTCACATCCTTTATAAATTTCATTCCAATAATGCCCCCACATACAAAAAAAAACAAATATGCACCAAGTAATATTTAAACTGAATTTAACATTTTTTCATTCTACATTTAACATTTTTATTTTCGCATCTAGCATTTTTATTATTATTTTTTTTTTGTAGAACATTTTTTTTTTGTATTTTCGTATTTTTTCCTTTTTCTTCTACATAATATTGAAAATTATAATTTTTTAATTTTTTCGGCAGTAGTCTTCCATAGAAACCCGTAGAACACCATAGGAACCTATAGTAATCCGTAGTCACATATTCTTAAAACCCTAATTCCTCATTTGAACCCTAGCCGTCAGACACCATAGACACCCATAGATACTCATAGACATCTATAGACATGAAATCGAAAAATCTCAGATCCGCCCCACCAAACCGTAGATCTCCTCCACCAAACCCTAGATCTGCGACACCAACATCACCACGCCGCTACACCCACGCTGCCATAACCCCCCCCAACGACGAGCACCACCGACACCATCCCCTCAGCCCTGAGCGTCGCAGCCCAACGAGCCCATCCTCATGACCGGCGCCGCTCACCACCAACGCCTTCCTAGAGCCGCCGCCGCCGCCATCACCATCCCTCCCCACCGCCTCCAGCAACGCCATAGTCGATTTCGTGGTTATAGCCACCACCTCCTCTCAAATCATGGGATGGAGTTGGGGCGAGAGATATAGCTTGAGATCGAGAAAAATAAATCGAGAACGAGAGCCAGAGAGAGAGAGCGAGAAGAGAGAGCAGAGACAAGGAGAGGAGAGAGCGAGAGAACCCGAGAGAGAAGAGGAATAACGGAGAAAAATAAATCTGAGAAAAACGTGAATAAGTGGGTTATAAGATTTAGGGTATAAGGGTAAGATAGGGATTAAAAAAAATATAAGGATGTGGGTCATATATTATTTCAATAGAAGGATTTAATTAAAAAATTGGATTTAAATTTGTCATTTAGTTCAAATTAGGTTTCGTATGAGGGGCTCCTAGCATATTACCCCTTTTTTTTAATACTTTATCAAAACGACGTCGAATTGATTATTAGGTTTAAAAAAAAAAAGATTGAATTAAAAAACACGTTAAACGTCAACACTCATCAGACTTGTTTAACAAGTCTGTACATCTTCTGCCTTCACTATTCCCGCACCCAGCCACCGCCTCCCAATCCTCCAGCCGCCAGCCACCGCCGCAAACCACCAGCCACCGCCGGCCGCCGCAAACCACCAGCCACCGCCGCCCCCGCAACCTGCCGGTACCCTCTTTCGTGTAGATGAATCGTGCAATTTTTAAATTCTTTTGTTTAATCATGTGATAATAATTTTGTTTAGATTTCAATTCTTCAAAAAAAATTTGTTTAGATGTGAATTTAAAATTTCTATTTACACTTGTAGTTTTTTCACTATTTAATATCGTATATATCAAATTATGTTATTTTCTAATACCATATCTATTGTACAAGAAATAATTTTAATGCGAAAGACATTAACGATTTGATCTACGTTCATTAATTAATTGAAATATTTTTTGAGTATCGTATTCAACCGTGAAAATATTAACTTGTCTTTTTTTTTTCCCCTTGATTTATTAGGACTATGGCTGAGCTTGAGAGTAATACAATTTCGTCACAAGCAGAAGCTTCCTCAGCTACTTCAATTAGGAAAAAAACGGACGCGGCATGGAGATGAGGGCGAGGATGACCTTGATGAGTGAGGGTGATTATTATGAGATGATTTTATTTTATTTTAAAATTTATGTTCAATAAATGTTCTTGGATGTTTGTGACTATGTTTTTTTTAAGTAAATTGACTAGTTTATATGTTTTAGTTTTATATTATAAATTTTAATTATGTGATGAGGATGATTTTGATGAGATACATTATTATTATGGATAATTTTTTGGATTGAAGTGAAGTTTTTCATATGTTGTTTAATGTTTTAAATTTTTATTTGGATGTACTTATGTGTATATAAAATTAAAAAATAAATAGAATATATAAAAAAGTAAAAAACCCGGGTTGACCCCGGTTGAACCGGTCCAACCGTGACCCGAATGCCTCGCCGGTTTAATGTCCGGTCTGGTTCTGATAACATTGAGAAATACTACACCTAAGCTAGCTAACCAAAGATCAAATTTTTACCTCACTTGTGAGTTGTGATCTTCTAAGATGATGACACTTGTAAAGATATATTTACATTAATATATCAAAATCATAATCTACTATCAAACAAATTAGGATTAGCGTGTTAAGAAGTTGACAAAATCATTAATTAATGGAGTAATTATATATTATCAATGAAGATGACATCAATTAGGCGATTAACATAGAATTAAGGCGTGAAGCAAAAGCCAAAGTGCAATTAGCTTCCTACTTTGTGTTGGCAGACGACACGTGGAGTTGGTGTGTGGTGATACATAAATCCCGAAAATCCAGCAAAAAATGGTCATCACCTGAAAGAGAGTACTAGGATACTAATATACGCAGGCCAAATTAAACATTCAGACATTTTTTTACTATGATTTTTTACCTTTTTACCATAACTATGTACCTTTTGTACTATTCCTACCCAATTCTATAAAATATAAAAACTCAACATCCAAGTGAAAAACTTCAGATATTCACCAATTTTTGCGATGGATCCAAACAACTAGCCCCGAATGTAAGTTTTTCGTTTTTCCCTACAACATTATCTGCTCGTGTGAATTTCGCGTTCGTGTAAATCACACAAGGAGATGATTTATTTTTTTTTATTCATGGGTCCGGTGAATTACGCGAGCACTTGCCAAGTGCTCGCGTAAATTCACACGAGCACATTAACAATTTTTTTTTTTTTTTTTTTAATATTCTCTCGTGCGATTTTACACGAACATGTGGCACCTGCTCGTTTAAAATCACACGAGCTATTTAATTTTTTTTTTAAAAATTCTAAAAAAATTGTTTTTTTTAACCCACTCGTGTGATTTCACACGAACAGAGAAGGTATGCTCGTGTGAAATCACACGAGCAGAACATCTCTGTTCGTATGAAATCACACGAGCAACACAATTTTTTAATTTTTTTTTTTTTGAGTTTTATTCTTTAGTTTTATAATTTGCTAACTACATTAATATAAAAACAGGAAGTATACATAGATGTGGATGAAGATATTGAAACATACGAGCTACATGATTACAGTGAATTTTTCACAATTTCGACTGCATTTGATAGTAAAGATGCACTAGTCGAGTGGGCGATGAATATGGCCATCAGTCAAGGACATGAGATTAGGCGACAGTCTTACCATGAGGGCCGACAATATTTGACTTGTAAAAGAGCCTATAAGAGACGAGGAAAAAATGCAGAGGTCAAAACAAGCCGGAAGTCCGGTTCAATAAAGTGTAAATGCCCTTTTGCGCTATGGGGTAAAGAGGGTCGTGATGGATTATGGCGCCTTACCTCAAAGATGGCAATCACAATCATTTTCCTCATAAATATCCACAAGGACTACGTTCGCTAAGTCGCCTGAGTGAAGAGCAACGATAAGTGACAAAGATACTGAAAAAGAGCCATGTGAAGCCGAAGGAAATTTTGCATCATCTGAGAGAGATGAATCCGGACTGCGGCCTTGAGAGATGTGTACAATGAATCACAGAGAATTAGACGAGAGTAAATGAAAGGAAAAACAGTTATACAACATCTGTGGCACGGACTAAGTGAGAGTGGATACAGCAAATGGCATCGAACAAATCCAGCTGGTGATGTAGTGCAAGACGTTATGTTTGCGCACCCTGATTCAATAAAGCTTTTGCAGTTATTTCCATACGTCATCCTGATGGATTGCATGTACAAGACTAACAGGTAATAATTATTTAAATGTGAATTACATTTATTATATTATATTATATATATATATATATATATATATATATATATATATTATATTATATTATATATATATATATATATATATAAGAGTTGACTAAATTATTATTACCTTCATGTAGATATGAAATGCCTCTTTTGGAGATCATTGGGGTTACTCCCGTGGGTAGGAACTTCACTATTGCCGTTGCTTTTATGTCACGTGAAGATGAGGACACTTATGCATGGACATTGCGATGTTTGCGAGACATATTATAATCCGTACAAATAACTAAATAAGTAAGTCCGATAACAACGTAATTAAAATTCGAGCAAATAAGAAAAACCCGCAAATCCAAAATGAAACAACCGTACAAATAACTAAATCCGAAAACAAACAACAAATCACAACACACGAATACCAATAGTCAGGTGCAAATAAAAATTATACACTAGCAAAAAATCCGAAACTAATACACAAGTCCATGCAAATAGGAGCCGAGCTATGTCATTGGCGAACGGCTGGTGTGGCGGGGTGGCAGCAACAACCCGTTCTGCAGGCGGAACTCTATCAGGGTTGCTAATGAACCGGTGCGTCCGCTCGATGTACCACTTCATGTACTCCTCGGCAACTGTTTCCGGTGGCCATGCTTCACGGTATTGCGACAGGTCAATGAAGTTGGCGTACTCGTTCTGCCACAAGCCGCCAGGAGCGTGGAAAGTGACTTTGTATCCCGCGCCAAACAAACCGCGGTTATGTGGCAAGTTCCATTCAATTATCGGGAAAGGGATAGTCTGGACTCTTCCAAACTGCCGCAACGCTCGGTCGGGCATGTACGGCTCCACTATATCCATGAACTGTATCGTGCCGTAATACATGCTCCGAGGATGCAAGTAATGTGCACCGGTACCATACGGGGTCCAACAAACCTAAGCATATTTTAAACTAATTAGAAAAATCCGTAACTCTACTATAGACATAATTAGAAAAATTATTACTCACATCTCTTTCGGTCATGGCGTCGAGTTTTTTCCGGTATTCCTGCAGCGTGATTTTATTGCCTCCACCATGGGCCCACCTTCTGCATCGATGCTCAAACTCGGCATATGAACGGGAAATATGTGGTCGAAAGCAGGGGAAATACTCAAAGATCCAGCACTGCAAACAAAAACCAATGAAACGTTGTTGATATTACCTACATAGAAGTTTAAATAAATAAATAATTACTAATAAAGGTACACGTACCAGAAGGAGAATAACACATCCACAGAGACTGTTCATCCCAGCGCGGGTGGCAACACCCAATTGGCGGTACATGTTTGCTAAGCATGCCGAAGCCCACGAATACTTGCCGACATTATCGAGATCGTTGGTAAAATGGATCCAGCACGGCTTCATGTTACACGCTGTTTTGTCTACAAACAAAACAGACCCAAGCAGAAACATCAAGTAGCCCTTCATCTTCTTCTCGTCTGTGGTGGAGGGAAGGGTCAACTGATCTCTCACCTTAACCCAACCAACTCCCTTATTTCGAAACATCTCATTGGTTTCCATCAGACCGACACCCAATAGAGATGCAAGACTCTGTGAGCACTCTTCTACCGGGCGAATTTCAGACACTGGCGGTCCGTCCAGCCGCAACGCCAGGATGAAAGCGACATCGTGGAGCGTGATCGTCATCTCGCCCCATGGCATGTGGAAACTGTTCGTCTCCGGCTGCCACCTCTCCACGAAAGCTAGCATGAGGTTCTTGTTCATCCTCTTCAGAAAACAGTCTCGTAAGTGGTAAAGACTTGTTGCCTCCAGCCTCGCAATCATCGTGTTATCCTGCGGGCCGCGGTAGTCCTCGAGTGCTTTGCTCCTCGACTCGCACCGTGTAGTTTCACGGCGCTCCTGAAAAATATTGCATGTATTGTTAGCTAAAAAAAATGAATAATATAAGAATTATGTAAAGCACGTGTTGACAGAAAACTTACATATCCTTCCCAAATGTACATCGCTATATGCGACTTGAACCATCGCATAAACTCGTAATTTTGTGGCCCTCCCTCGCACGGACCCTCCAAGTACGCCGGACCAGGCAGCTGCGGAAAGGGTAAGGCACGACCACCTCTACGACCCTGATATACATCTGGCTCATCATCTTCCTCCGTCTCCTCGTCAGTATCCACATTATCGGGATTGTTGTTGTGGTCATCATCGTCGTCGGCATGTGGCAATGTACTACGAGCTAGCTGGAGGTCGCGTGTAGGTCCACAGGGTCCGGCTCCAGCTGCAACAACTTCTCGTCCCAGTCTCTCTTCTTCCCGCTGTAACGCTGCTTCTCGAGCTAACTGCTTTCTTCTACGGGCGGAAGCAAGGACATCTCGGTCTCCAATGCGATCCGGATCTTCCGGATTGTTCCCCTTCCCGCTCAAGGCTTTCATTAAGCTCTTGCCTTTACCGGCAACTTGACTCATAAGACTTTTCCCCCGGCCTCCTCCTGCCATCTACAATTGAAAATAAGCACTTTATTAATATTTCATATAATAAAAAAAGAATTTAAATAATGAAATGAAAAAAAAAAGTTAAATTGTTGTGCTCGTGCAAAAAACATGCGAG